AAAGGGAAAGTAACCCTTGCTTCGGTATAACAAAAATTCGTTATAACGCATTTCGTTATAACGGGGTCCGACTGTATTACTTAACAATTGAGCGCAAAATGTCTCGAACCCAAAGTCATAAAAGATTACGCCGGATTTATGGTATTAATATTAAGTAATAATGACACCCCGGATGAACGCATTGTACGTTTTGATGTATCTTCTCGGTGTAAGGGCAATACTACATATTTTAAGAATTTGACCAAAGTATTAGAATATCCTGATGCGCCTAGAGTAGTTATGGCATATTTACTTAGTCTTAATCTTCCAGATTGAACCCACAAGGTATTCTTATTACTAAAATAAAAGTGGAGACGATGCGAGAGCATTTGCCAAATCCAATTTGATTTTGATTATAACGCGCCATGGTCTGAGGATCAAATTAATAAACCAAGCTGTGAGAATTTATACCGGAATTATATTACATAGTGTAGTGGTAATGGACTCCAACGATTATAGACAAAGACCAAATAAAGAAATTATCGTGCACAAAAGAAATATTGGCACGTTCTGATTTATCTTTGGTTAATCACATTATTATTATGATATCGTTTTCTGATATCCAAACAATGAAAAAACGAACAAAGAATTAGCAAAGGATTCCTTTAAGTTGAGAAAACAAGAATTTTATGTCATAAAGAGTTATGTCGATTAACCAGCGAACGTAATAAATTATTGTTAGAGACCGTTACAATAGAAATTTTGAGAAACTTGTTGAATTATATAGGCGACAGTCAGATTTACCTATTAATAGCAATAGTGAAAAAGCCGATGACAGTATTGAGTCCAGAATTATTAGTGTTAACGAAGGAGGCTTCAAATAGTTTATAATTTTCTACAACAAAATAATGCCGAGCAACTTTTAAACATATCAAAGCTCTTGATAAATGCTGTGACACCCTGTCCACGGGGACGCAAGATATTATGTTTGTAAAGATTATTCGTGATTCCAACGACATTGTCAAATAAAACTCTTCTAGCTAGGACGTTGCAACTTTCCTCTGGCTTACTGAACTAACTGCCAAGTTGCAGCTTCCTTCGTAAAAGGCAAGTAGGAGATTACAAGACGATTACAAAAACGATTACAGGCAATTACAGGCAATAATAATATGATTACGGGCGACTACAAACAGTTTACAAACTATGTTTTTCTTTGTAAGTGCTGTCAGGTAGTTATAGGTCGTTCATTTAGCGAAGATTTTTGAATGGGGCTTGTATTTAGATGGTTATAACAACTTCTTTATGCAAATTATTCAGACGTTCGCAGGGTATTAAGGAACTTTAAGAAATGAAACTGCGTAGACAACCCGTTTAGAGGTATTTTCGTTTGTAAGAAATTATTAGAAGTACTGGTACTGATATGATGGTCTGGGACGGTTTGTTCTTACTATCAGATTCTTTAGTGAAAATCTTGAAAGGACTGGTTTGATGAGAAAGAATGGATTAGTTCTAGATGAGTTGGTCAAAGAGATAGAGATGCGAACAGGGAAGAGGAATTAGTGATCATTCAAGTGTCAAAGATAATGAGATTCGTTCACATTGCCTTATGGACAGATTTGTTGCTTTGAGTAATTCATCAATATGCGCAGTGATGGATGATTTGAATATTAGTCTTACTCTCTGTTACTATTACGAATTTAGGAATTGTATTCGACTTTAATGCATTATCGTTGCAATAATTAGTATTTGCTTAGACTCTCGGTTAGGAAATGGTTAATTTAATTCCTAATCTTTATGGAAAGATGTCATCTTTTCATCCATTAATGTTGTCTCTTCCATCTGTGATCAATACTAGAACAAATAGATTCCTAATTAGTTTTATTAAGTCTTTGAATGCTGCTATGGCAAGTAGAACACAATAAATGAGAAGCTCTCACCCAAATTCAGTTATCCATATTAATATATATCATTGAGAACTTATTAAAGACGTTTGTAAAGGGTTAGATTTTTGCGCGAGAATAAGTTTCTTTTGACTCCTGGTCTTGGCTAGCCCTTCGTTCTTTATTGCAACTACATAGATATTGTCTTTCCACAATACAAACAAAACTGCCAGTCAGCAGGCGCCGGGAAGATACGTTCTAGAAGGGATTATAATACTCTCCATCCAGGTAGTATATTTTACTCGAAATGTCACGTGTTAACTGTAATCTCGTTTGAAATTTGACCAATCAAATTATACTCTCCAGCCAATGCATGATGTAATCGTACGATCTTCAGATTGAAATTATGATTACAGTCGACTCTCTTTATAACGACCTTTTTTATAACGACTGGCGCTTTATAACGAACGCTGTGCTCTGCCCGTTTTCAAAGACGTTATATAATTTATTATATGTACTACGCTGCATATAACGACCGAATTTGCCCAGCCCGAGGCGGTCGTTATAGAGAGAGTTGACTGTACATTTGAAAAGCAACGAGTTTCTTAAGAAAAAAAATGAAAATTTCCATTCGTGGAACATCCCATTATGTGCATTATTGATGTGCATTATTGTTCTCGTATCGAAAGAATTTTGATTTTTTTGAAGGTTAGTAATCAACATTATCAGGTTTATAAACCTATCTGACGATTGCGCAGAACAGCATATAATCAAACTGGGTGAACACCCATAGCTATGTGGGCACAGGTTATCAACCGCATAATCCTTAGACACACGGGGGTGGTCCTTACTTAGTTCTGGTTTATGAAGAAATATACGATAATTTGCGTGAAAAGATTCTGATGGGTGCGCGCGCATGTTATCACATTGAAGGCTTGACTGTATTAATTCTAACATAGGGTTTCTGCGTTAGTTTGATGATGCGTATGAAGGCGTATGCAGCCTTCGAAATATCAGAGAATCGAATCAGGGAGAATCACTCACCGACAACGAAATCAATAATAACTTGCGAATGTTAAAGACCAACCTTACACATAGCAAGGCCCCATACGCTAAACATTTTAGAAAATATCTAAAAAAGAAAACTGCGTCTGATTTCTTAGAAGCCGAAGCGTATACTATTTTATGGTAAGTAATTAAGCTGATGTACTAGCTTACGTCAATTATTTTATAATTTACATTAACTGAATGAACCAATAGGATCCAGCGGAGCGTATGAAAGTAAACGGCTCCTCCACTTATTAAGGATAGATAAGAGTTGGAAGAAATCTAACGAAAAAAATGGCAGAAGTCACGGGAGGTATTCATGAAGTCTTGTGAGTATCTTAATTTTGCGATCTACGATAGCGAACACAGTAAATAATACTTTTCTATAGGGGGGATGTTTGGAAAAATCCAGCTTTCGGGTCAAAGTTGGCTAAGGAGCAAAGCGAAGGCACTTATATGACCGACGTAATAGTTCCAATGATTCGGGCCTCATTAAAGGGCTTACCAATCGGAAAATCTGGTTATATTAGCACAGCTGAGCGTCAAAGTAAAACCAGCAAAGACCGAAGAGGAATTGGGAAACGGCCTGATCTTATGTTCATTGTGAGTTGCAATAATAGGTCATATGAACTAGTTTTTGCAGAAAGTTCCCGCATCGTTTGTGATAATCAAAAGAAAGAAAACGATCGGGTAAAATTATGGAGGGAAATAAACGACGGCATGTATTGGGCGCAGAAAGGTTGTGAACCAGCCAAAGATAATTTCGGCATTATCGGAATTTAAGTTGCAGGAACAGAGATGCGTCTAAATGTTCTCATTCGAGGTATGGATGAGATACATCGTCTCTATAATCTATGTACGGTTGAAATCCCAATACAAGTAACAGACGGGGATACTGTGTTCAAATGCGTAGAAACTTTATGACATAATATTGTTATTGTTCAGGAGCATACGTTTTTTATTGGTTGCTATAATTGTCACGAGCAATTAGGAGATAA